TATATATATATTTGCAGGTACTTTGCTCTCTACACGCCTCTCACCAGTTGACAGACTTATATGGGCACCAGCTCCTCATGGCACTGAAGGAAAAAGCAGGTATTCTAATTGGATGGATTGTTAGAGTCTACACAGGATGGAAGCTCATCCTACCCTATAGACTCACCTGTGTGACTCCATAAAAAGGAGACTTTATGTTTGTGTGTCTTCTTTGTACTTTATCCAGGCTACCTGTTGGGAACCCTCGAGTCCAAATACAGTAGATGTGAAACATTTGGAGGTCTTTTTGCTCAGTGGTTTTGGTTGTAAAATGAGGAGGGGGGAAAAGACTCCAGCACATTCAAAACATTAGCCTCTATTTTGGGTTTAGATGCTTTCTCTGAACTTTCTGTGAAGTTTGAGTTTCAGTTGCTTCGCAGAATTTCACTCGATTCAGCACCAGTGATGTCCAAGCTGTGTGCTCACATCTTTCTTGGGACTTCATTTGTTGGGTTGGTCGCACTTCTTTCTTTCTTTTTTCTCAGTGAAGTCAAGGTTCAAAAGTAAGTGATAAATGCACTTAGCTCTTTTCTGTGCTCTATATGACTGATGTCACAGATGCTACTATAACTACTTGACAGAACATCAGTTCAAACATAAATCTCTTTAAAATATTAAAAAATATGATTCCACTCTGTCCTTTTAGGTTTGTCTTATTTGCATGATTCTGGATTACTCATAATGTCACAAGGGCATATATCTTCAAAGTAATTGCTTCAGTAACCTCTCAGGTCTTTAGTTTTCTGCAGTTTTCAGTAGCTTTTGGCCCAGTTCCCAGAATACCGTGTTTTGTTTCTGCTGACACTCCCTTCTTTGCTACTTTTTTTTCCTATTCTCGTCCTTTCACTCATTTAAATCCCCGCTCTCATGAGTAATTCCTTGTGCCTCCTTCCCTCAGACTCTAGTTGAACCAGTTGGATTAGTTTAGAGACACACAAAATAACTTTTGAGCTGAAATCCCTCACTCAAAAAAAAAAAAAGCTTATCCTGTTAGCATTAAACTTGTAAAAGTGTTGATGAAGTGGCAATTGTTTTCTGTCCCAGCAGCTACAACTGGTTAAAAAGCTGTTTGTAGTGACCTTCAAAGTGTTTTTCTTCATGTTGTGGAAGGCGGCAAGTATTATACAGTACACTATAACCGCCTGCGTTTACATAAATTATAGTAATCTGAATTGCAAAAAAAAAAAAAAAAACAGCATTACTCTGAGGCAGACTTAGAGTTAAAATAGACATAAAAACGGTACATTTAATGTCAATGTTAAACGCAACAGCTGTTTATAATAAAATGTCCAACCAGGACATAAAAAATTACTCTAATTATTTTTTAACTACATATCTCGTTGCTAATAGTGCATACATGGGCTTCCTCATTTTGTGAGAAAATGTTGTCTCACAGTTGTCTTGTATGATCTCATCTGTGTCACACCCTTTCTTGTTGGCATTTTCCGCTGTCATCGTCAAAAAGCTCCCGACTGGCTGATATTCAGCAGGTGTTGTGGAGTGGAGAGAACCTTCACACATTGGTTTGTTCACACAAGATGCAACTATTTTAAAACAACACCGATTCAGAAAGACACTTCATTCTTAAAATGTGAATTGGCTTGACTTGTGTGTTTTCAAAACAGCATGCCGGTGTAACTCTTGTAACCCCGTCCCTCCTCGACACAAGATGATCCAAGTTTATAACGCGAGAGTCGGTGGGTAACATGCTTTCCTTCAAAGAAAGCCGTGCATTTAATCGCACCATGTATTTGAGGTGAGAATATATTGCACTCTGTCATGAGTTCTGCATTTTCTAAATATAAATTAATTCAAAATCACGTTGCAGACTTACTTTATGTACTTTATACTTCAAAATCACGTTGCAGACTTACTTTATGTACTTTATACCATTATAATCCCAAGCAACAAGACTGCTGAACTGCCAGAACATTAAAGTACACATTTTCATCTTATCTAATCACACGTTGCAAACAAATATACGGCAAACAAAAAACCCCAGCATGCAGCGCAAAAATAAAGTGAAATTATTCATATGAAGAAAGCATAATGATCAAACAGAAACGTGGCTGTGTCGTCTGACTGCCATCTACTGTAATTAAATTGTGGGGCAAAAACAAAAAAGTCCAACTGAATAGATTATTTCATCTTAAATGCAGTGAAGGAATAATATTTTGAATTTTTAAAATATGGCTAAAGAGTGGGCACTGTATTCAGTGTGTCTGAAGATTATATTTGAGTTTTTTACGTCTGTGACAAAACTTTAGGGCACAATTCCCCTTTTTTTGCACGTCAGCAAAGGGAACATGCTGTTTTTTATTTGGCAATCTTTTCAATGAGAGGAAGTTGAAAGCATGACTGTTTATTGTTTTGGAAAAAAAGTTTGCCCATCTGTCACAAACTTAAGGAATATGTATTAAAGAAATATTACCTTTTTTTATTTTTTGTTTTTTTGCCATAAATAAGAAGTGAGTCGAACCAAAATCTTATTACATAAATTCAAAATCATCAAACCAGATCATGGCAGACATGTTACAGTTGTCATGTAAAAAAAAACAACAACAGCAAAAGGCTCTTAAATAACTTTGCTAAAAGGAGGCTGGGCCTAGGAAGAAATAATTTATTTATGCAAAAATGTAACAAATAAAAAAGGGTTAGATCAGACTGTGACAATTAAATGAAAACTTACCGATCCTTTTATCCTAAAAAAAAAGTTCATTTGTGCCGACTTAGATTTAATATGTTTAATCTTTAACATAAACAAAATGAGAAAAGTTATTTATTATTATTATTATTATTATTTACAAAAGCTTTAATTAAGACACATCTCATCAAACATAGTTACTTGCTCTTTTTATGATACATAATTTGGCAAATATGCAGTAAAATCATGACCACTTAACATTTTATAAATATAAATTAATAGAAAACACATTAAATGGAAAATTTACACACATACATTGTAAAATTGTAAAACACTGTTATAAAGATTTTGTGTAAAATATTGCAAAACTTTGTACAAATATTCCTTCATATAATAAGAGACTGTGGCTTCCTATAGTATGCACACTAATATCTACACAGACAAAACACAAACAATGTCCTCACACAATTTCGGTATCAGAGGGGGGATTGCTTTCACACATTTTTATCAATATATTCATCTGGTCCTTCGGCTCAGTCATACAGGTAGAGCTTTCGGTCTGATTGCTGTGCCTCTTGGACACGAAGGACACCTCCCTGTTCCCCTCTCCTGGGGAGGTGCTGGAGATGTGGCGGAAAAGCTTCTGGATCCCGGTGTCGCTCAGCGAGTTCCTGAAGGAGTGGGCCGCAAACATATAGAGGACCGGGTTAATTGTGCTGCTGATGAAGACCATAGCTCCTGCGATGAACGCCGTGGTGCTTCTGACATTCTCCAGTTTCTCCGCTGCATCTTTGAACGAGTCTTCAATGGCCAGGATGATGATCGACAAGATGTTTCCTAAATGGTAAGGCGTCCAACAAATGGCGAAGGCAACGACTATGCCGGCTATCAAGACGGTGGATTTGCGTTTTGACCTGAAAGACATCTGAGTGATGCGGCTGCACAGGCAGCCGTAGCAGACCACGAGGATAATGAAGGGTAAGATGTAGCCCACCACTGTCTCCAGCAGCACACACACCAGCTCTTGAGTTGGCGAAGTGTAGCTACGGTACAAGCAGTGCTCCTCGTCAGAGTCGCTCCCAACAATCTGAGTTGGGATGATGGGTATGCTGAAGAGAAACGCTGCTATCCACAGAGCCAGCAGCAATTTATTCAGAGCTTTCTTTCTCTTCCAGACAGCTGAAATGAAAGGGTAACGCACAGCAACGAACCGTTCCACGCTCATGAGAGTGATGAAGAAGACACTGCTGTACATGCAGGCGTTGATCAGGAACACCATGGCCTTGCAGCAGGCCTCCCCAAACACCCAGGAGTGGACGAGGGAGTAGATCCACAGAGGGAGGGTGATGAGGACCATCAGATCTGTGGCAGCAAGGTGCAGGATGAGGACCACGGTGTGGGAGCGCTGCTTCACGTGCCTCAAGATAGTCCAGATCACGAGCAGGTTCCCCGGCGCTCCAACCAGAAAAGACAAACCCAGGATGGTGCACGCCACCGCTGTTCCTCCATCAAACCCCTCAGGGGCCATTTCTTCTGCAAACAAAGCCTCATCTGAGTGGTTCATGCTGCAGATGTATGTGCTGACTGGGATGTCTGGATGGAAAGAAAGAAAGTCATCACTTCCCCTTTATATCAAGTCTACACAGGAACAGGGTTTCCTGACAAGGCTTTTTGAGACACAGCTGTGAGTCATGCGTGTGATATTTGCTAATTTTTTTTTTTTTACCTCAGGTCATCAGTTTAAATTGAAAAAAGGAAATAAATGTTCCTCCTAAATTACTTAAGAAATTTCAAACTTCTGAAAGAAATTAAAGTAGTCTATTGAAAAAAAAAAAGCATAGTCCAACACTTCATGGGGTCAAACTTGATGAATCAAATACTCATAAAGGGATAGTTCAGACCTTTTGAATTGGGCTTTAGAAGAAAGGTTACGAGCAAATAATATCTTACCTGTCTTTCAGTGACCTCAGTTTGGAGAAACGGAGTAAATTCTGACTGGACCGGCAAGCTAACGGCTAAACAAATTAAACTGATGCTGTCTCACCAATCTGATAACTTTCAGCATGATTTATGCACATACTGCTTTAGATTTTTTTGTTTTGTTTTTTAACAGTTACCTTGTGATTATTCAAATAGTTATCTACAACAGGTAAGATATAAATTATTCATAACCCCTCCTCAAAAGATCTGATATATCTACTCAAGAAGCACAAAATAGTTTGAAAACAAGATGTTAAATATCAGGTAATAATGTTTTTACAGAATAGAAATGATCTTTTTTCTTTTTATATAAAATGTAAAACAGAAAACAATTCAAAACTGGTATCCTTATTATTCACTGATACTTAGTGATTTAGGTTTGTTTCTTTGGAATTATCTTTAAGCTGGTGAACTGCAAATTTTTAATGTATGAGAACATGACATTACATTATTTGTGTGAAAATGAAGAAAATATGTTAAGGATAATATTTTTGAAGGGATTTTGTAAAATAATACAATGAAAATAAGTTATGGATGTGACTGTTATGTAACAGACATGGTAAAATAGTCTGAACTTTTATAGCACTTTATCAAGTCCAAAGGCTTTAAAGCACTTCACCCTTTTATTCACACATTCACACACTGATGGTGGTAAGCTACATTGTAGCCACAGCTGCCCTGGAGCAGACTGACAGAGGCGAGGCTACCAAACACTTTGACCACCACCAGCAGACGAGGCAGGTAAAGTGTCTTGCCCAAGAGCACAACAGCTGAGATGGCTGGGGCAAAAGTTCAAACGCTAACCTCTTGTTGCCACAACCACTGATGAAGGATGATGACACTATTAAAATGATGTGGCTTTCTTTGTAAATCACTCATTTTAGAAATAAGAGAGTGAGTCATTTGCTAGTTGAGGCAGATTTTGAATTCCTTATAAATGTGTCTTTTAGAGGAAACAATCAACCGGCAATCTATTAAATCAAACATGGACTAGAATAATCAAATTTAATGATTAAAAATAAAAAAATCAATTCACAGCAGATTTCAAGAGCATTTATTTTGTTACAAATGGTTCTTAAGCTATAATTGAGAAACATAATGTATTACAAAAATCAAAATAAGTGGTAACAAATGAAATCACCAGGTTATCATCGACAGTACTTCTAATTAACACTTTTTTTTAAGACAGAAGGATCAGTTCTGACTGTTCTTTTGCTGCCCTCTGGTTATTTTGCTGTTGCATTGCAGTCTCCCAGAGTTTATTTGTGCTAGTGGCCACTTCCTGGAACAGCTTGATCAGACAAGACTCTCCGAGACTCTCTCTGGTGTTCCTGGCGAAGAAAGTGTACAACACAGGATTCACTGAACTGCTGATGAAAACAAGCGCACCGGTGCTAAAGATGAGGCTCCTCGGCACACATTCGTGTTTTATGTAAACACACACCTGATCAGTGATGTTAACAATGTGATAAGGCAGCCAGCACAGTATAAAAACTACCACCACGGTGTGAATGAGAACTCTAGATTTCTGTTTGGAGCTGAAACTAATTTTCTTGAGCTGCATCTCCACAAGACAGTAACAACTACTGAGCGTAACTAAAGGAAGCACAAAGCCCAGTGAGGTTTCCAGACATAAGACGAGGATGAGTTGAATCTTAGAAGTGAATTCCTTGGTCAAACATTGCTTAAGACCATCAGTTTCAGTGACTGTTTGAGTGAGAAATGCAGGAACTCCAAGAAGCAAAGCAAGCATCCACAAAAGAAAAAGGCATCTGTTCATGTTGCTCTCACTCTTCCAGCGCATCATCAGAAAAGGTTGACAGACGGCTAAATAGCGCTCCACGCTCATTAAGGTGATTAAGAAGATGCTGCTGAACATGCACACCATGATGACGTACACGAAAAGCTTGCAGACGATCTCTCCGAACACCCAGGTGCGCAGCAGGGAGTAGATCCACAGAGGCAGGGTGATGAGGATCAGCAGGTCTGCAGCAGCCAGGTGCAAGAGGAGAACCACGGTGTGAACGCGCTGCTTGATATATTTCAGGATAGTCCAGATCACAAAGAGGTTCCCAGGAACGCCGATCGTGAAGGCAAGGCCCAGGATCACACAAGCCCCTATTACCCCGCCGTCAATCTCCTCTGGGGCCTGTGAAGGGAATGTCTCAGATGAGGAGTTCATGCTGTGAGAACGTGTTTCTTCAGCGGTGTCTGCAAGAAAAATGAAACTGCTGTACAAGCAAGGCTACGTTTCCCTCTAAAGGGATATAAAGTTCTTTTCTCGTGACTGCCTCAAAATAGTCACTCCCAGTATCTGTTTTATTGCATGAAAATGTTGTAAATTTATGTCAGCTGCTGGTTACCGATAAGGCAACTTTTTTAGACAGATGAATCAGCACCAGTCTTTATTTCTGAAATAGTCAGCCTTTCTAAATCCAGGTCTAATACTGACTTTTTGCCAATGAACCTAGCTGAACACTGCTCCTCTAGCTGTTTCCTCTTCACAACACTTATTTTACAGCCTCTTGTTGCCCCTCTTTCAACTTGTTTGAAATGTTCTGGTGCCATCAAATGGTACATTGTGAATGGCTTGAACTTATTTAGTGCAGGGGTGTTTCTAGGGGCAGGGCCACAGGGGCAATGGCCCCAGCTGAAATCTGATTGACCCTCTGAACTTCCCTCCAGTGGGAATTACCTGTGATAGTGAAAGTGATAGTTCAGATTTTAAGAACTCTCTTACTTTTGGTTTTACTTCTTTACTATTTATTTCACATTTTGTCAGTTGTACACGTAGTACCTACCAGTGTTTTAAAGATGTTAAAACACAGTTTATATGCAGGAATACCAATAAGTAGAGCTCAGTTGTTGTTTGTTAGCGGTGCTCCGCCTTAGCAATGAGACGAAGAAAGTGACATTTTGTGTTTTTAGTCAAAGTTGAACACGAAATATCAAAGTTAAATACAACAGGCCCTTTTTGGTGAGGGCCAGCATAATGTTTGTGTGGCCCTCAGTGAAAATGAGTTTGACACTCTTGGTATAAAGTGTTTTGACCGGTGTTTAAAGGTGTGAATGATTTGGAAAAAGTTAGGATAGATGATGAGGCCACATCCTCTGTTCTCCCCTCTCTTAAACTATCTTTGTTTTCTGTCCAAAATGTTAATGTCCTCAAAATAGTTAATCTTGCCTCTGATCTTCACCTGTAGAGCTGGCTCCTCCATATTCGACAAGGTTGTTCAGCTTCTTGTTGACCCTTCCCTCCGTTAAACTGCATACCCCTCTGAGATGTCTCTTCCTTCTTTTTCTTTCTGTTCACTTGTTTTCCAGGTTTTCTAATTGACTTAACGAATGCCAATTTCAAGTTTAAAATGCTTTTATAAACACATTTGTGTTGCTTATATTTTCCCCGCTGCCTTTGTTGGGACATGCTCAGTTTGTGTTCCTGTAAGCGTTGCTGGTAAGATGGAGATAATTTGGTTCAAAGATTAAGGTCGGCATCCTTTATGGTGGATTTAGTATTTGTGGAGAAATGGCAAAACTAGCCAGAGCACCTTAAAATGGTGTGTGCGTTTTCTATCTGACAAGATTTTCATCCACCGGTCCTATAGATACCCAAGATGGTATTTTCAACACACAAACAAATTCATATGTTTCTGTGAACTTTATAAAATACAAACCATTTCCTCCATGCAGTAGTAAATATCCATGAAGAGATACTGTAGTTAGCAATAGCCCAATAACAGATTTTCTTTTAAAATGAGAAATACCGTAAAAGACCTTTCAGTATTTCATTTCTCTTTTTGGTATTAAGAAATAATCATAATGTGCCATGAGGTCATGGCACAATATGATACAGGAATGTATTCCCAATGAATATATTACATGTTTGCTTAACTCCTCACTGGACACATTCTATTCAACCTGGAATCCTAGAAGCGACCTCTCAACTACTTCAAGGTCATTTGTTTTAATGGCTGAATGATTATATCTGATCCTTATGTGGATTTACTTTTGGTAAAGTTGGATCTGAGCTACTGTATGTTTTTGGTTTTTAAATTTGAAAATAAAAAAATAGTAAAAAAAAGAAATATAAACAAGATGAAAAAAAATAAACAAATATTCACCAAATTTGTAATCATTTTGCAGAAATAGAGATGGCACTTTTCTCTTTTAAAAAACTTTTTAATGTTCATTTATTACAACACTTCCATGAATCTTTATTTTGAACCCACATCTGTTAAATAGATCATCCATGAGTAGTTAATTATTACCAGCATAAGGTCAAACTGCTCACGGAAAAAAGTGAAATTTTTAATTGTCTTTAAAAACTATTACAGTGTTCTTACTTTAAGCTCCATCTGTTGATTTAATTCTGATTTGAAAACATTGTTTTCTAATTGAGCGACAAATTAAAGGCAAAGCTGCAGGAATGTTTCTGATCTGGGCTCCAACTTTGACTTTCTCAAACAGACCGAACCTCCTTCAGAATAAAACAGACTTCTGCAAAGCGTTTCTATCGCTCAACTTGCATTCATGCTGGTCATCATTGTAAGACTGGAGGACAGAATTTTACAATTCAGATCCCCAACACATACTCTAAGCCAGGGGTGGGCAATCATGGTCCTGGAGGGCCGCAGCCCTACATGTTTTACGTTTTTCCTGGCTCCAACCCACCTGATTCAGTCACTGATTTACCTTCCAAGTTCTGCAGTATGGAGGACCCAAACTGACGTAATTATAAATAAAAGCAGAAATCTATAAATGAACCACTAAATAAATAAATGCACTTAAAATGCACCAATTCAATTAAAAAAGTACTTCACCTCATGTTTTGTAATTTAATTCTCGTTTAATTGATATTTTTCAACACACTTCAAATTTGACTGTTTTTTAAAATATATATTTTTCAGTTTTACTTTTTACTTGCACGTACATTTGTCTCTTAAATGTTTAAATTGAAATACTTTTATAGTTTTTTCCCACAAGTCTTTTTTATTTCGATGTGTTGCAGGCATGTGCTGCCTCAGTTTGGCTTAAAGTTTGAAGTTTAGTTAAAAACAAAGGCATGGGTAAGTTTTTCTCCTTGCCTTTGTTTTAAACTAAAMTTTAAAGACTTGTGGGAAAAATATAAAAATAATTAAGTATAAATATTTAAGAGACACAAATGCATGTAGAATTTAAAGGAAAAACAACAAAATATGTATGTTAAAAACAATAAAATTTAAATTATGTGTTAAAATATATAGACTAATTTATACTAACCTGGAAAAATAAATATTCAAGTCATTTCAAACAAAAAACATGAGACAAAGTTCTCCTTTGTTATTTTAATTGGTACATTTTAAATGTATTTATTTAGTGGTTCATTTATATAATTCTGCTTTTATTTCTAATTATGTCAGTGTTGGTCCTCCATACTGCAAGAAGCCTGAAAATCATCTATTCATTCATATCAGGTGTGTTGGAGCAGAGAAACAAGTAAAACATGCAGGGCTGTGGCCCTCCAGGACCAGGATTCCCCACCCCTGCTCTAAGCATTAACTGATATGAGGTAATATTCTCCATTTTAATTAAATCTATTAGCATTAAAAATTGCAATTGGCCATTTTTTTCTTTTAATTTTTCTAAAACCAAAACATGGATTTTGGTTTTGTGTTAAATGCTTGCAGCATATAAGAAGTATGGAGAATCAATCAAGTTTTTAACACAATCTTCCATATGTTTTATTGCATATTGTTGAACATTACTGTTAATTACTAGGTGTGCAACGAAACAGAAAATTTACCATTCGGTTCGGTTCCTTACTTTAGTCTCACGGTTCGATATTTTTTCGATACAAATAACAGAAATTTCCATGCCCCTTTTAACTTGTAATTTATTGAAATTATTTATGAACATTAGTTTAACCTCAAAAGTACCATTTTTAAATTAAATTTAAACTTAAAATTTGTTGAAACAGCAAATTTCTCAGTGGATCTGCACTCGAAAATACAGCCTAGATGGAGTAGTCGAACAAAGATCCTCTGATCCTTCAACACAGAGCATCTTCAGAAGACAAGTTCATAAAATAATTTTTAAAAATCTGTATTGTTTGATACAAGTGTGTATTGAACCTAAAGCACTGCATTGAACGGTTCAATACGGGTACATGTTGCACCCCGAACAATTACAATTATACAGGGGTGTCCAATCCTGGTCCTCAGAGGCCACCATCCAGCATGTTTTACTTGTGTCTCTGCTCAAACACACCTGATTCCTCTTCACGTTCTGCAGAAGCCTATTATTCACCCATTAATTCACATTAGATGTGTTGGAACAGAAAAAACTGTAAAACATACAGGATAGTGGCCCTCAAAGACCAGGATTGGACACCCAGGAAAACTTCTTTGTGGTCCCACCAATAAAAAAATGTTGAATTAGCTTCCCATGATTTTTTTACACTAACAATACTTATTAGAAAAAGAACTATATGTCATATTTTATAGGGTTTTGTACACGATTTGGAAAACTGAGCTGAAAAACACAGAAACAAAAGTAAATTATATGGATTTATTTTTAACAGCACAGGAAGTTGTGAGGAAATTCACCTGGAGGAAAACCACAGGTGCATATATTTCCAAAAATGTAGTTACACAAGGTTTGTGGTGAGTTATTTTTGTTAGTTTGAGTAGGTTTCTAGGAATCGTCCTGTGAGTTACAGGAATCCAGAGAAGTGTTGAGCAAAGGATGAGTCAACAGGGGGAGTGAGTGGGAAGGCTTTGTGTGTAAAAGTATCTGGACTGGTTTCTCCAATTGTCTCAGAGGTCTGATGACACAGGTGTTCTCTGAAAAGTTCCAGAACAAAGTTTGATTTGACAGGAAGGCTGGTGAGAAAATGTTATGGAAAGCGTCCACTAGCTATCTTCAAAGGGGACATATCATTCAAAATCCAAATACATGTTGTTGTGTACTTCGAGTCTTCTTCCTCTTTGCAAAATAGGCCATTGCCTGGCTCTGAGTAGTCAAAGGAAAATAATTCTTCGTGTCCTTCATCCAAGGAAAGTTTCAATAAAGACCAGTGTCTTTTTGGGGAGAGCATGGACCCACTTTCGCTCACATGGATTCTTTATCCATCCCCATGCACCGTAAGACCATAAGACCTAGAGTCTTCTTCTGGTGCTTTGTAGATATCTTTAAATTCTGTTTGGGTCATATTTTTCAACCAGTGAAAAATATGTCAATTTTTTTTGTGATGGAACTTACAGGTCTGGACTTACCAACTGATGATCTTCATTATCCTCTGGCTCTGGGTCAGACTCTGGCTCCAACTAGTAAGGCTGGATGGACAAGTCTTCCGTTGTTGACATATTTGACTAAATTTGTCAATAAAAAAGTTTCTGTGCCACTACATTGTCGTAAACCCTCTATCAAACTTCAGCAGGCCGTCCTCCGGTCCTTGAAGCCGCCATCTCGACAACGCCAATTTCTGGCGTGGTATGAAGGCAGAAACACGTTGGAATAATGCCAGAAAAGTCTGTGTGTATGGTCATAATAAATGATTTAATTCTGAGCAACAAACAAACAGGACCCAATCAGGAAGTTCTGTTGGCTCGTCGCTGACACGTCAGCGGACACAGCCAATAATATACACCATGATAACAACATATGACGTGCTTATAACCAATCACAGATCGCCCCATGTACTCTCCAGCCTATCACAGGGCTCCCAGCTCAAAGAGTGTCTTATCAAACAAGAGAGTTCAGTCCGTTGCGGAGTCCTGTTTTCTGGACAAACAGATTTACAGTGGTTTGCAAAAGTATTCATACCCCTTGAACTTTTCCATATTTTGTCACATTACAACCACAAACATAAATATATTTCACTGGA